CTTGTTTTCTCATTCCTTTGTAACGGTAACGGTTTCCCAATAAAGACCCCTTTCCATGAAATAGGATGCTGCTGCAAGGCAAATTTTGTGTGAATATGATTGAACTGAAAGCAGTTTAAAGAAAGCTTCAAGCGACGCCAGAGACTTTCAAATAGCACACTCGGGTGTGTTGCTTGTTCTCTTAGTTCGGGAGTAAACACACTGAATTGCTTTTTTTATTCACCTCATAAATTTGATTTATAGTATGGAACGATTTAAGTCTAAAACCTGTCATCTGTCTTTTCTCTCCGTCACAGTTGAAGTTTGGCAACACACTTCTGCCTGCCATAAGGATGGTAAGGTTACAAAACGCTGGGCCATCAATTTTCACACAAGAACTGGCAGAGATGGTTTTCGGCCAGACGACCCTCGGTACTCAAAGCCTGAGGGGCTCGACCTTTGGAGAAGGAAAAGAGCCCCTGCACAAAGAAACTGTGGATGACATTGTCGGTGAGGATGTCTGTACTTGGCCTTGTTAACTTATCTGCGTGTGACGACCATTTGAAGTATGATTCGACTCTGAAGCTCTTAACCTAGTCCAAACTCTGCAGACAAAGCTATATGAGTGTTTGTGATTGCTGCGCCATTTGCCCCAAAATATTAACTCTGGTACATCATGCTACATTTTATAAACATTTGGAAATTTTGAGCCAGAACTGCACAGTAGCTTATTTTGCTTTAAAGATACCACAAGCTCAGAAGCCTTACACTGCTGCGTTGTTACGGTGGGTTTGTGTAAATTTACAAAAAGCTTTCAATTCGTGCTTCAAATAATATGCTATCCAAACTATCTTTCTGTGGAAACTGACATACTCTTTGCAGTTTTGTTCAAAAATTGGTTGGCAGTACAGAGAAGAGGGGCAGGAGGAACTCCCCTCTTCCCGAGAATCTTTTTTGTGTGTCACAGAATTCGCTATTGTCCCCCTACAAGATTATAGAAGATTAACCCGTCACTCAAAATTCGTACAAAGCAGCCGCTTTGGTGACTGGAACGATTAGGCCATCCTCTCGACATCAGCCTCGCCGTAGCTTTTCTCGTCCCGAGACGACCTACGTCACGATTGCGTTGGATGTCACGTGGTCTCCGCTGGGCCTTCTCCGAGCGCTTGCCAGGGTGGGCCGTTTAAAACGAAAAATACAGCCACCCGGATCAAAATACAAACGTGCGATTGTCATTTACGGATATTGTGGATCATATTGAACCTATTTTTGAACACGACGGGAATATTTCAAATTTCGTTGAAGTATCCCTTTAAAAACTGAATTAATTGTGAGCTTGTGTTCTGGCGGGAGCTTCGAGCATGCAAGCACGTGCAGCAGGTGTGTAACGGCAAGTTTGGAAAGCTTGCAACTGCACATGCTTACTTGCACCACCAAAGAAATGGTAGTGGTGCCCAGCCTTGCAATAGGGTGTATGTTTTGCTTTTATGTGAAATCGCTCTTTTAGCCCCTATTTTCGTATAGGCCTCGAGCTGTCCCAAGTGTACTGTCACAAAATAACTTATACCTTCGCCAACTTCAGCAGTGAAAGGGAGGTTTGAGAACAACCTTAGAGAGTTCTGGATTTTTAAGACAACAGTCATTGCCTATGTGATCTGCCGTAATCATGAATCTCTGTGTAACTATTTCATTAGTAAGCACAGTTATGTGAAAATATTTTGTAGCTATCAAGGTTTGTAGTTTTTTTTTAACTTCTGAACTTGAATAAAGCGTACAATTATTTTCTATGCTTATTATAGTCTCGCACAATTTCAGCGGACTAAATTTGCCATCAAATTCATACTTTGAATAAATTTTCAGATAGTCACTCTACATCATTCAATCCAATTGTGTATAAGACTGCTGCTACAACAATACCTAGAAAAAGGCTTTTCTTATGACATCCTTGCTCCTGTGTCTGAAGATTTTAAGCACATAGGCCAGTTGAGGGTTGAATGCTGTCTTCCGTAATGCTAATAGCAGATGCAGAGAGGTGGGAAAGGAGCATTGTCTTTGATCTGATATGAATCTTATAATTGAACTGGAACGAATGAGAGTAAAGTTTATACTTAGCTTTGTCTTAGATCTGCAAATAGCTATTTTGCTGATCTAAGACAGACTTTTAGCTGCTCCATAAGGTGGTACAAAATGACGAATAAATCACATCACTGCTTTCTAAAAACATTAGTGTTGTTAGGACTAGGTTCTAAACGAAAATGTGATTGTGTATTCCCAATCCCTCCTTTGGGCTAATGTTCTGGAATAACGAGAAAACCAATGGCCATTTTCTTAATGATTACCACTTATACAGTATCAAAACACCTTAACCAGCTTGCTTGATCTGACCAGCTTGCTTGATCTGGTCTCAGCTGAGGCTAGTTGTCTATAGCGTTCTACTTCACGCATACACTAGGTGTGCGTTGTGTTTCTTTAACACAGTCTCAGCTGGGATGTTGATTCTAGTAAGGTACGTGGCCGGCCCTGGAACACTGTTATTTACTGTACCATAGAGACTAATGATTGATCAGATTCTTGCAGAAACTTAAGAAGCCTCATGTAATTATTTGACTTGTTTCTTTTCAGTCTACGTCATGAACAAATTTCCTGGAGAATGTGAAGGGAATGTCAGGAGGTACCTAAGACGAAAGTGCAACAATGCGGCCTCCTCACTGAAGAAGAAGCCTGCCTATTTCTGAATCGTATCACTGAGAAATAAAAAAAATTGACAATTGTAACTGAGCTCTGGGTTATTTTGCAATCCTGCTTTGCATGATGAGACACTTGGCACAGACCTCTTTTGTTGAGCTGTCCCGACTGGGCACCTTGACTTTCTCAAGTGTGTTAGTTGAGCAAACCATGTAACATTTCTACTCACGGTATGTGTGCAGCCGAAAACCACTACAACCAGGAAGGCTTGGAGCAGTAGTTCACACATATTAATATCGTATTATCTAGATGCATGTAAAATAGATTTGGTTAGTATTTTTAGTACATACTTCCAAGTCACTTTTAGTATACTTGAAGGTAATTTTTGACCTACTTAAAATGCTATTCTACCATACAATCTAGTAATTCTTGATATAATTCAGATATAATTTTAGCATATTTTTACTTCATTTTTAGCATATTTAGCATTACATTTCTGACAACTTTTAAATTCTTTAGCTGTAAGTTGTAAATGAGTTTTTGGTCAGTTTTGAATACACCGATGGTATTTTGACATTGAAAGAATTATATTTTTGCTGTATTTGAAACAGTTTCTGAATGATATTTATGATTAACTTTAAATACATTACGCGCTTATTTCGAGTGCGGCCAAAATAATACAGAATGAATACAAAATGAATACTCGTATTCAATACATTTCAACTTCATTTGAAGTACGGCCTCTTTTTGCTAAGGGAACCAAAGCGCGTGAAGGGCCATCGCAACCAACGACTCAAACTCCACTCCCCGTTCCTCCCCAAAGTACAAAAACTTGAGCGATTCCCAACTTGGCTCAAAGTTACATTAAACAATATAAGCGAAAATCCGCCCAGAAACAGAAGGCGCCCTTACAATCCAGAAACACATGAAGGAGCGCTTTTCGCTCACCAAAGAAACTGGAGTTAGTTCCGATTGGAAGGTAGAAGCTCTTGTTTTCTAACCAAGTTTTCACTGGCAGAGTTTCTGTGTAAAAACAAACGAAGGAGTCTTCGGTTTTGGGAGAAACAGGGAGGCTGCGCATTCGCCTGAGGACGTCTTTTCCAGCTGATGATTCGAATTGATTTCTGTACAAAGGGGCTGGAAACATGCTGCTGACTGTGTCCCAATAGAGTTTTCTCTTTTTAACTTGCTAGAGGTACTCCCACGAGTACCTCGATTCGAAGAATTTGATTGCTTCCGCAATTTCTTTGTAGAACCGTAGGCACTTAGCTGATTTGGTTGCTCCGATGTGCAAACCACCCACTGGCTAAGGTGCGCACTCCCAAGGCCCTGGAATGACCACCGCGTGACTGCATCATTCGAGTCCCTAAACAAAAGGAACCGATTTATTTTTGCTTTGAGGGCCACGTGCACCAAGGCGAATCCCCCAGCCTCAAGGCTAAGAAAGATTTGTGCGCCTCGTTTTCTTCATTGGCGACTGCCATACAAATGTTGCGAAGAGCCGATGAGTCTTGCACACCGTGCTGGCGTCGATTGGAATAGCCTGGGCTGAGTACATTAAACTAGGAAAGGGAACAGTGTTACACAAAGCTTCACTGGATAAGATGAATTTGCCTCGTGCGCCATGGCAAGAGCGACGCTCTCGTCTTCTGAAGTTTGACCGACCACGTTTTATGGCTAGGAGGCGTCAACGTGAGCGGTACGCCAAGGTACTTTTCCAGGGAGGACGACCACTTCATCAAAAACACACTTGAAGTCTTGCAGACCCAGTTACCCAGCCACGTACCTGTAGATTTGGCTAGGTTAAGACGAGCTCTCGATACGGCAGAGAACTCTCGAATTATGTCGAAAGCCCTGAAAAGATCCTTCTCTTCGGAAAAAAATAATAGAAACATCGTCTGCGAATGCCAGGATTTTTAGTTATTTAGTTGAAGACCTCGAATTCCTTGCTCTAACGGACTGAACCAGCAGGCCAAGTGAGACGCTTACTTTCTTTGCACCTCACTCTCCGAGCAGACTGAAGAGCCTGCTAGGGGAGTGAAATGAGGCAAAACAAAGGCCTACACAGGGATCGAACCTGTGACCTTCGCGTTATTAGCACGACGGTCTAACCGACTGAGCTAGCAGGCCGGGTGAGACACCACCTTCCTTTCCGTTGTTTTCAGTCTGCTCGGGGAGTGAAATGAGGCAAAACAGTGGCCTACACAGGGATCGAACCTGTGACCTTCGCGTTATTAGCACGACGCTCTAACCGACTGAGCTAGCAGGGCGGGTGGGACACCACCTTCCTTTTTGTTGTTTTCAGTCTGCTCGAGGAGTGAAATGAGGCGAAACAATGGCCTACACAGGGATTGAACCTGTGACCTTCGCGTTATTAGAACGACGCTCTAACCGACCGAGCTGGCAGGCCGGGTGAGACACCACCTTCCTTTCCGTTGTTTTCAGTCTGCTCGGGGAGTGAAATGAGGCAAAACAAGGGCCTACACAGGGGTCGAACCTGTGACCTTCGCGTTATTAGCACGACGCTCTAACCGACCGAGCTAGCAGGCCGGGTGAGACACCACCTTTCTTCGCGTCTTTTTCAGTGGGCTCGGGAAGTGAAACGAGCCAAAATAATGGCCCACACAAGGATCGAACTTGTGACCTTCTCGTTCATAGCAGGACGCTCTAATCGTCGGAGCTAGCAGGCCGGGTGAGACTCCCGCATTTTTGCCGTCTTCTCCAGTCTGCTCGGGGTGTGAAATGAGGCAAACCAATGGCCTACACAGGGATCGAACCTGTGACCGTCGCAGTATTAGCACGACGCTCTAGCCGGCTGAGCTAGCAGGCCGCTCGGGACAACCACTTTCTTTGCGTCTTTTTCAGTCTGCTCGGAGAGTGAAATGAGGCGAAACAATTGCCTACACATGAATCGAACCTGTGAGCTTCGCGTTATTAGCACGACGCTCTAACCGACTAAGCTATGAGGCTTTTTGTTTCTTTATTGCCTGACTTTGGCACATGTGAAAGATTGCTGAAGGTTACAAGGTTAAAACAAACCAAAGCCACAAAGGCTAATCTACACAAGAGAACAGCAACAAGAATCGAGGAATGACACATCCAAACACATCCAATCAATTATTAGTTCTCGCAGGTTGCCAGCTCCTCACGAAGCGGCAAAAAATCGGGAGGAGGCTGTTGTGTTTTAAATACTTTCTTTAGGTATCGCAATGTTACAGCGAAATACTTCAGCGCAGGTCGCACGTTGACGTCTGCATGCCTCAGCGCCATACGGCATCGCCGCAAACTATGTAGGCCGACAAGCATGATCTTGTCATATGGCACAAGGTTATTCCCTCCCTCCACACAAAGGTATTGTATCCCGTGAGGCGTTAACGGAATTTTTTTTTCTGCAAAGGTCTTTGAAGGACGTCCCATAAAAAACTACGTCTCAGCAGTTCAGGAAGACATGCTTTATTGATTCCGGCTCTTTACACAAAAACAGTTCACAGACTAGGCTACAGAAATACCTTTTCTTTCAAGCCACATTTTGACCGGCAGTGTTTTAATATGCAGCTTAAAAAATAACTTTTTAGCGTAAGCAGGGACTAACATTCGCTTAACACATTTTAAAATATCCTTCCCCCTTTCCCGCGCTCAACACGGAACGGTACAGCGGAGTCGGAAGGAGAGAAACAATCAGGTCTTTGGTCAGCCGTTTGCGCGTCACACTGGACAAATATTTAAGTGAAAAACAAGCAACTAGAAACCTGTAGGCGGAAACAACCTCTTTCAAATAACTTCGCATATCAGAGCTCCACTCTACATCTGTCGAGAAAATAAACTTGGGCAGAGCATAAAGCAGCCTCACCTGAACGACTGTGCGTAAAAAGCTGTCCTTTTGGTTCCTTAGAAACATAAACCTGTTCACCAGTTGTCTGACAAAAAGATGCGACAGACCCAGACCGCCATCTTTCACACGCAGAAAAAGGTTTGGCACGTGCGCTCCCAACACGAGCCCCAAATAAAAACCGCAAAAACACGATGCAATTGCTGAATGTTGACTCGCGAACAGTGCCACACCTGCAACATATACCAGATCTTCGCGGCAAAAAAAAAAATATATATATATATTACAATTTGAGGCACGTGCAAAAATTAAAAGCCCTACATCGCGAGCTGGCCTGCTTAAATATAATTAATACGTTTTTCTTAAATAAAATATATTGTTGGTATGCTTAAAGTTTCATCAATGCATTTCAATTTAGCATTCCTTTTCGAAGTTCCCAATTTGCTGAAATTAAAATGGGATAAGGTAGTGCGCTCATGTCACCTAAAGGCTAACGTTGTTTCAGGGATACTTTTCTTCTATTTATACTACAATACAAATTAAAAGACAAATGATGACATACGTTTAGTACTACAAAGATTATGTAAATGACGAAGGTTATCACTAGAACAGTTATACGATTGTTGTGGTTTTCATATTACCTAATTGATAATGTTCATGCAATAATTTTCACGTATCATACACGCAAAAATACACCACAGAAATGAAGTCAAGCACTTCTGATCAACTATTGTTCACATGTTGGCACGATGTGTTCGGGGATTCATAAAAGAAATTCTTGAATGGCAAAAAATAAAACACTGAATTTTTGTGATTTGTGTACTATTAACGAAAAACTAAACTGACGACTTAGACCATGCTTACATTATCTTCTACATAGAAAAAAACAATAAATAAGAAGACGATGGACGAAGGTGACAATGACAAAACGTCTCAACATTACGTTATCAATCATCAACTCGCACCCAAGAATGGGTGCCAGTTGGCTACCTTCGATAACCCCTCGACAACTGGTTTTCATCTAACAGGCCCGCTAAGCCAAATCACCAAAGCACGGTGGAAGACAGCGAGCACGTGCCAGAGACTGCGAGAGCGACGCTTTGTACTTTTTGTCCTTTCATTGACTGTGGTGCAATCCGCCTTAACCTCTAAATACAGAACCTGAAAAACGTATTATCATATTCTTTGTTCAACGTGGTTGTTATGGCGATTGTATGATGGTTGTATTCATTTGTACTTCTTTTTATTTCTTGGGTGTTCTCATCTGACATCGCGGTACAGGTCTTCATTACGTCATGTCATATCACACTACCTTCCTGTAGTGAGTTCAGTAAATATGAAGAACTTCTGAATTTGTGCCATAACGCCTATCGCGCATTCTTTCTCTTCGACTCTCTAGATGTAGAACGAGGAGATGACAGGTACGCAAGAGGTAGCTCTCGTCCCCAGGTGCGAAGCAATTCAGCGAACAGCTTCTCAAGGCACGCCATCAGGGGATGCTTCTTTTTCACGTGACTGTCCATGTAAAAGCTGAAAACAACGGTGGTTGTTGCGTTTCTCGGGCAGCTATGGAGGATTCTTGGTATTTTGCCTACACGAAACGCATTTTTAGGAACAAGTATGGTAAGGTGATCAACTCATTTAGCAATAACAAGCGACAGCCGGAATTTTTTCTTTCCTAGTTTAGAATGTGAAGGCTTTTAAAAAACACATTGTTGTACAGGCAGACACGCAAGTTAGATTAAACAAAACTAAAGTGGGCAAGACGACTATTCCGCAATCGCACAAGTGGCGGAGGACCTTAACTCCCACAGATCTTGAACAACTTATGCTCTAAACCGAATTCAAAAAGTTTCATGCAGGCTCGTGTACTCACTTGTTTGCAGCAGCCGGAGCTCCGTTCTCGGCATGTTCTATTAACAGGGCCCTGAACCTCATGGTGACCTTAAGAATCCTGGGAGCTGACTGAAAACGTTTTTGAAAGAATGTAGTCTCTATTACCTTTAATATTCACCGATAACTTAAAAGAAATGGGAAGAGGTCTTTGAATTCGAAAAAAAACATCAAAGTGTTAACGTAGCCACGTTTAAAGTGAAGTCTTGTGATCTTGTATGAACTTAATTTTAGAAGAGTTGTAATAGCTACTTAATAATTCGGCGTAGATTAGACCGTTGCGATGCTCCGATGGTAGGAAAGCGCTAGAGCGGGAAGAAGAAATTCGCAAAAGTGACGTCATTAACGGGGTCCGATGACGCTGGCACGCCACTAAACTGGATCGAGCACGCCGTCGACGACGTCAGTACGCTCCGGGCAGATAACAGGCGGCAGATAGGATCGCAGCATGCCCGCGGCAATCGCTGCGCGCATTCGAAGCAAAATAAATACAGGATGCCACAAAAAAATGAGCAGGGTTTTTTTTTTACCGCAAAACTAAACTAGGCGTCGCCGAACGCTCATTTTCCGCCTAAATGTAGCGCTAGAGGTCAGAACCAGATGCCAAAATTTCAGCCTGATCCGATAACTTATTAAAAAGTTATAAGTGATTTCCTGAAAATTTCAATCGGAAAATTGCGGCCGACGGAGGTTTCGAATACATGGGGCTCTATGGCACCAGAAACCAGAAACGGGCGGAAATGGGCTTCACTTTTCCGTATGAAAGCTTCAGAAAATCGCTTATAACTTTTGATTAAGTTATTGGATCGGGCTGAAGCTTTGGCATTTGACTGTGATCTGTAGCACAACCTTTGGGCGGGGAATGAGCGTTTTTGCGAGGAAAAATACGCTGTAAATTGTTTTTGTGACACCCTGTACTTGCGTCCAAGGTAAGTGCGACAACTGAATTCATGGGACAGAAAGCTATGCGGAAGGCAAGTTCGTCTGCTCCTTCCGCACTACGCGCGTCTGTTTACACCCTGACCTCGACCAATGCTGGCGCGAGCCGTGTGCATCGTCGTCGCGCTCTATCTGCTCCTGGTCGATGTTAGCTTTTGATTGGTGCGCCTTTTTTTTTGCGTTTACATGCGCCGAAAGACGAATTTCAGAATACTTGCTCATTTCATCGAAGCGCTCTTCCAACTCAGATTTCTTTCGAAAGGGTGTCACCTCCTCTTTAAGCAACGCCCAGCGCGGCAAGACCCGAGCATCACGTAATGCTCCTCCACAGCCAATCAGAATGCCGGCTTTGCCGATAAGAACGTTGACGAGCCAGTCATGAGGCAAGAAGGGGAAAAACAGTACGCCGTGCTCTGCTCTGAAAAATCTGTCAGTGGCCGTTATCTCACGTACTGCCTTAAGTTTATTACCCATGAAGGCGGGCGTAATATTGAAGCGGGCGTGTTTCCACTCGTTTCCGAAAAGATTAGCGATGGCTCTCTGTCTCAGACCGTTTCCCAGCTTCTGCCCAATCTGCAAATAGAGAAACTAGCCGAGCTTATAAATAATGCGATCCCGAACACACCACACTTTAGAGTTTAATTCTTTGCTTTTTTACAAAAAAAAAACAAAAACAAGAAAACAAATGTGTATAAGACAACGAGGTTTCATTTTTGTTTTTTTACAAACAAGTCTACGTTTTGTGTTTCTTTCTTACACCAGGTGTTATCACTGCGCATGCACAGAAAACAAATTTGCTTCTGCGCTTGCGCAGACAGCAGTGCGACAACTGCGGCGTGACGTGCGACCCGTGTTTGTGAATATCCGCGTAGCACGCTAGACTAATTTGGCACACGTTTGGCACTCCTAGGTGCCTAGCATGGAACAAAGGCCGCAATTTTTATACTTGGTTGTCATAAACTTCAATAAAAAAAGCGGTGCAAAAAAAATTGCAATGTTGTGTAAGTGCGTGTCGGCATGCTAGGTGTATTTGATCCGGTTGAGTGATTTGCTCCTACCAACCACGCGTGCTGTTTACTCGCTCCTTTGTGCAGTGGTAGAAAATTTTCTGTTTTCACTGAGTGCTGACTTCGTGCGCTCAACCCCTAATCCTCCGTTTGTCTGCTTGT